GGTTCCACATACCTGTCAGCAGTGAGTTTAGGTTACTTGGAAGGTATCCAAAAACAAAACAAAACCAACCAAAGAACCAACAACAACGACAACAACAAAAATATTCAATGGTATTGCTGTAGCATCACTATGACTTTATTCATGCCATTGATGGCTGCATTAGGGGCACGGGTAGTAGAGCTTTGAAAAGGGAATGAGAGATTTGGCTCTGCACAGAACTCACTGCAAGTGGGAACTGACAGCCAAGATCAAGGTGAAGTCAGTGGGGGGAGAGAATGACTAAAAGACAACACCAAGGGAAAGAAGATGCTAGCTGAGGGCAAGCCAGACATGGGCTGAGGGATGGTGTAGGCTGTGACACGGGGCAGAGCTTCTTGCTGAAGAATTCAGCAGGGTTCTTGCCAAAACCTTATTTCACAAGGAAGTACACATTTGGGTGTAGGAAACATTTTAGAAAACAAGTTTGGTCAACTGAAAAAAAATTTGCTGAAGGTCCGAGGACACGGTAAATGGGGTGGAGTCATCAGATTTGGGAGGAGGTGACTCAAGGAATGGAGGAGAGATTGGACTTGGGTGAGTACAAACAACCTCAGGAGTTCACATTAGGGAAGAGGATGGGGCATCCCAGGATGGAATGAAGTATCAATTTGGGGATAATTTATGATGTGGAATGAACTGGACTGTGTGACTCTGAAGGTGGAGGAAGAGAAGAGCCCTGGATAATGGAATCCTACAGCTTCTGGGCACAGGCGTTGGTAATGCCAATCATATCGAGGAAAGATACTGAGTTTCTGCATCACCCCTGCAGTTCCTCTGCCTGCATTACTCTAGAGTTTGCAACACAAAAGCAAACCTTCACAGACCTTTAAGTTTCTGTAAACACACACACACAAATCAAAACTCAAAAAATTTGCATATGATTGGGAATGAGCAGTTCATGGAATTCCCATCTATGAGAAGATATCGATAAACCTCAGGTTAAAAATTCTTGGGATATGATCCAAGTGGGCTTAGTGGTAAAGGTTTTATCATCATCAAATTTGGGGACCCGAGTTTGAGAGAGAAGCAACTTCCAAACATTGTTTTCTCCTCCTTACTTGCTCATATATGCACAAAAAATTAATAAATGTCAAAATAAAAAGTAAATAAAATAAATCCGGGGATAGCACCAAAACACCCAGGCTGGGGCTATTTTATGGTTGGTAGAGGACTTGCCTGAGCGGCACCAGGCCCTGGGTTTCATTTCCAGCACTGCATGTACCAGTGCCTATGATCTCAGCACTCTAGGAGACAGAGGGAGAAATTCAAAGTCTTCAGAATGATTGTTTACTAACTAAATTAAAAAAAAATCAAGCTCATCCTCAGCTATGAGCAAGTTCCAGGCCCATCTGTGATATATGAGAGCTTGCCTAAAAAGGGGAGATGAGGAGGGTCAAAGCAAGCTGTAGAACTTAAGACATGTAAATACAGAATCAGTTTGGGTCATAAAGACAGAGCTACTTCCACTGTACTTGATGACAGCACGCACAGTTTACCCTTCCATTCTATTTTATTCAGTGTTATACTAATGGTAGGTACTACTTATTTAACATTAAGAACTTTACCAATGAGCTATATCCCCGGCCCTGTAGGCACTACTTAATGAAAAAGCTACTGTGCTTGACACTAGGAATCCAAAGTCTACTGTGCCCTCAAAGAGTGTACAGGCAAACTAGAGAATACACATAAGTGTATAGGTGGTAATAGTGCAGTATGTATTGTAAGAGGTATTTGTACAGCGGATGCTAAAGTGAAAGATGGGAAAAGAACTGAGTTATGCCTAGGATTTACCACCAGGGGGTTTGGGGGAAATTCTTGGGGAGGACAAACAGGCTTTGTTCTGAAGGAATAATTGGGTTTAGCCTGGCTGTACTCCAGTGTAGTAAATAGCATAGAGTGTGTGTTTGGGGACACAAAAGCCCTTCAGAATGACTTGAATGTAAAGTACCAGAAACGGAGGCTGTTGGTAGCAATGAGATTGGGCAGCTGAGCACGGAGAGGACAATGATTCCTAGGACAGACACCCAGTGGCTCAGCGTGTGGACTTGAGCACAGTGGCCAACTGGGTATCACACGACCAGTAAGAAGGCTTTTTAAAAATAATTAATAAAAAGGCAAAAGAAGTAATCCACTACCCTAGTCAGACAAGAACAACCAGTTTTGTGAAAGGTGCTTACAAGGCCTTTTAGGACTGAGGTAGCAGCTCTCATGGGCTGGCCTAGCATGCTTCAGCCCATAGCCGCACTCTCCAAGCACATGAGGGTCCAGGGAAGACATGTTGAGGGGTTTGGACTCTATACTAAGGGGAGTGGAGAGCCATTCCCTGTTGGGCTTTAAATCTGCACTGGTGGTTATGGTTATGGAAGAACTGTAATGATGGTGGTCTGGAAAAAAGATAACGGTAGTAGGTAGAAGAGGAGCTGGGCAGAGAGATGGAGCTAGAAGCAAAGGATTTAACAGGCTAAAGTGGGTGGTGGGACAAAGGGAGAAAAGGCTCACAGACACCATTAGTCACAAGGAACTGTAAACAAATGCCATCTACGGGCTTGCAAAAAGATTTTTATGTTGAATTCAAAATTAGGTAAAGGCAGTGAATAAAATACACAGTGGTCTTCATTTTTTCCTTTAAAGAGATTTATTATTTTTTATTGTATGTGTTTGGGTGCTGGGCTTGCATGGATTTGTGTACCACATATATGCAGTGCCTATGAGGGCCAGAAGAGGGCAGCAGATTCCCCCTGGAAATGGAGTTACAGACCATTATTAGCCACCACGTCTCCTGACTGCTGAGCCATCCCCAGTCCCACGCTCTTCATTTTAAAAAGCCGATTGTTTAAGGGACCCTGTGTGCCTGCGATGTGTTTGGGCAGCAGTCAGAGGTCTATGCTGAGGCCCTGTCTTAGTTTCCTCTCTATTACTGTGATAAAACATAACCAAAAGCAGCCCAGGGAGGAAAGCTGGTATTCGATCTTTCCGCTCACAGTCCATCATCAAGGGAGGTCAGTGCAGTAACTCAAGGGAAGAACCTGAAGGCAGGGCTGATGCAGAGGTAACGGAGAATGCCTACTTACTGGGTTATTCACCGTGGCTTTCTTATATATCCGGAACTACCTGTCCAGGTCCTTCCACTTCAAGAAAATGGCCAACAGGCTTGCCTACAGGCCAATCCGATGGGCGATTTTCTGAAGTTCCCTCTCAGATGACTCTAGCTTGCATGAAGTTGCCAAAAACACTAACCAACACAGACATCCTCAGCCTTTGACCATTTTAGTTTTTGTAACAGCGTCTGTCTCATTGAATCTGGAGCTCACCATTGTAGCTAGACTGACTGGTCAGTGAACCAAGGTTCCTCTTTCCTCCATCTTCCTGTCTCATCCCAGCACCTGGCTTATAGAAAATGAGCTCTGCCCCTGGTTTTAGGTCATTCTACAAACTTTTATATATTTGAGATTTACCTCTTGGCAATCTGGAGCTAAATTCTTGTGATTGCTGTAAATTACTTCCTTTCGTGGTTTTTCTTCCTCTTTTTAACTTCTCTACTTTTACTGTTTTATGAAATTGAAATGTTCCCACTGGAAGGTAGCTTTTTTCCCTCCCTCCCTCCCTTCTTTCCTTCCTTCTTTTCTTCTTTTTATTTGTTTTGTTTTTCAAGACAGAAATCTCTCTGTGTAGCCTTGACAGTCCTGGAGCTTGCTGTGTAGACCAGGCTGGCCTTGAGCTCACAGATCTGCCTGCCTCTATCTTGGGAGTGCTGGTATTAAAGACGTGTGCCACACCACCTTGCTTTTTCATCAAGCCAACTGAGTCCTCTCTGCATGGCTGACCCGCTGCTACCGATTCTGTGGCAGTGTGGATTGTACTTGCATCCTCCAGCATATCAGGAATCACAAGCATGAGGCACCAGTCCCAGCTTGAACGTCTGAAGCTTGTCTTCTCTCAGAATCTTCCAGATAGCGCTCCTGTGGTCAGAGGACAGTTTGAGGAGTTAGTTCTCCCCTTCAACCGTGTGGTCTCTGGGGATGGAAGGCTGGGCTTCAGGCTGGCCTGCAAGTGTCTTTACTGGCTGGCTGAAACATCTGGCCAGCCCCTTATTTTGTTTTCTTAGTAGCTTCTTTTCTTTATAAAGGCGAACTTTGTTTTCAAATTTGCATAGGAATGCAATATTTAATTTAAAAAGATGGCTCATATGACCTTATAAAGACAGTAAAATTAAAGAATCAGAAAGATAAAATGGGGTAGTTGGCTAAGTCCTATAAAACCAGCCCACAAGGATTATCACTATTTCGAGGCTAACTCAGGTTGCATGGCAAGTTCCAGGGCAGCCTGGTTACACACTGAGACTCTCAAGAGTCCAAATAAACAACAACAAAAGGGGCGGGGTGGACTCTGCGGTGCAGATGCACAGGACCCGCGATGGGGGACTAGGAACAACCTTTACTGCAACGAAGGGAACTTCGTGAGACCACCAGCAGCAAGCTCCCAGCAGGGATGCACCCAGAGCCTCTCTGTTCCTTTCGGACCCTGCGGCCCCGCCCTTTCCAGGTCGCTCGCCATTAAGCCCCTCCCCTTCCCTGTATTGCCTTCCCAGAGTCCTGAAGCTCCGCCCCTTTTACCACACGCTCTCCGAGGCCTCCCCTTCCCAGGTCCCCGGACCCGGCGTGCAGGGACCCCGCTCTTCTCAATTCACGCACCCCATCTCCCCACCACACGTCTTGAGGCCCGCACCTCCGTTTCTTCATTCCTAAAACCCCGCGCGTTTCAAATCCGCCCCGCCCTCCTCCCTTGGGCTCCGCCCCTCTCAGACCTCGCTCCTCAGGGCCCCGCCCCTTAAACGGCCCCGCCTTTGGCCATGAAGACCCGCCCTTTCCCTAATCACCCCGCCCCTCTGCCACTAAGTCACGCCCCCGCCCCCGCCTCCCGCCCCCTTGGGCGCTCCGTAGAAGTGACGTGGGCCGCGGGCTGGGCACTCAGCAAGGCTCCGGCCAGCGGGCGGAGACCGATCCGGGATCTGTCCCAGCAGGAAGCGCATCCCGGGCGGCCGACGTCTCCGGTGCTCGCTCTCGGCCGCGGCGTCGCGCTCTCCCTTCGCGCCCGCAGCCCGGCATCCTCTCCGCAGCCGCGACCCCTCGCACCTGCCTCGCCGGGTGAGTGTGGGAGCTTGCTCGTCCGCCCGTCCCTGCCGCCTTGGCCTCTGCTCGGCCGAGCGCGGACCGGAGCGCTGGCTCCCCATTCCCGAGACGCCAGGGCGCCTGTCATCTGACGCTGCTGCGTCCCCGGTCCCGGGAGTCCCACCCGACATTGCGAGGTGGTTTTATTTTCTCCTTTGGAAGCACACTGAAAATTCTACACAGACTAGTTTGTTGTCAGAAGTAGAGATCAAATGATGCCATTAATAATTTAGCCGTGTCGAAGACCTTGGTTGCGTTCTGCAGGGCTGGAACTTTAGTCCTTGAGCAGTCTAGTATCTAGAGTGTGAGTTTTATGGATGGGTTGCTGAAAAAAAAAAAAAAAAACTTCGTTAGGTAATTCCAAAACGCCTTAAACTAATTTAAACACACTAGCTCTGGATTGTATTTTTAAATAGGAAATAATTTGATAAGGCCATTCTTACATTATCTATGTCAGGAATATTTACACAGAGTTACATTTATCTGGCAAAAAGTATGTAGGGCAGGACTATTTAAATCCTAATGTGGAGATATTGTTGGGGCGCTACCCAAACGCTGTTCCGAGTTCATATGTGCTGAAAAAAAGCTTCGTTTGCTCTTCTGGTACAGTTGTAGGATGTTCGAATATTGTCCCTTTAAGAGTTCCAGCAGTCCTTGAGGCTCAGCTCTAACTATCTGCACACCATAAAATGTGAGTCTTAATGGTCGTGGTACAAAGGTTGGCCTCTGAGCAGCAGCGTTTCTGTACAAATTAACTCAACTTCAAGATGTCTTTGGCTTGCGGTTTCCTAACTGGGAAATGTTTAGTGAAAAAAGTCACCTTAGTGCCCTCTAGCATTAATTTTAGAAATAGTCACAAATGTTACAAGGGAGCCGGAGGAAGAGCCAGAAACAATGTGGCTCTTCAGAATAGCTCATTGACTTTTAAATGTCCGCTCATTTTTTGGTGTTTTCCGCTGCAGGAGTAAACATGCACAGTGGTAAACAGAAGTGTTTTCATTTTGTGTATGTGATCTGTTACCTGTTGGTTTTTCTTCTTTTCCAGTTATGTAAAGTTACTTGTAAATGACAGGGACCTAATACTATCATTAAGCAAAAACTATGTGAGGAAATGTATAGTTAAAAAGTATGCGATATAGAATATGCATAGCTCTTTATTGCCTAGACACATGAGCAAGAAAAGTGAACAACTGAGATATTTAATGGAAACTACAACAACATATTAAAAACAAAGATGGTAAATTATAGTCCATAGGGGCTTATCTGAAAGGGATTTTCCCCTGTTTATGCGATCAAGTTTTAAAATAACAGTGGCCAGGAAATCTGAGAGAGGCCAAAGGCTCTTCTCTCATCCTGTTGTGGCTTTGCCTGGAGTCTGTGATGGATCATTTATTGTTTAGACAACTGGTCTGTATCTGGGTTCTGAAAAGCAGCTGCCTTTAAACAGTTTTAAAGGTTTCCACCACGCAAGGGCTGAATAAATATATAAGCACTCCACATTAAAAAAATTCACTAGTTTTTAACTTTCTCTTGGTACTTAAAGCTTCACTTAGCGTACATAAAATGCCAGTTTAAAAAAGTCAGGTTTGGGAGTATAATTCAGTGGGTTTCTAGAACCTTTGCCTAGTGTATATGAGGCCCTGGGCACTAAATTTTTTATTTTTCTGTAAAAATGTTTTAATAAAACATCTTATTTAAACATAAAGGATTGATAAAAGCATTACAATTTGAGTAAGTCTCACACAGTATAATGGGGATTCTAAGAAAGAGATACTTTGTATCAGTTTCTGAACTGGCGATTTAATATCAGTGTGACACACACAAGCATTTTCCGGGTTGATGGTCTTGTTCTTTTTATGAGGAGAAAACAGAGGCTCAGGGAAGGAAATGCTGGCCTGTGGCTTTGGAGGGGACAAAGTCCGGACTCTGCATATACTTGGTAGTCTTCTGACAGTGAAGTCCCCCGCCCTGTTTCGCCAGAAGTTGCTTTGAATTTCTGTTCACTTGGTGAACCAGTGAGAGACCTTTGTAGAGTTGGTCTGGAGATTTGAAGATGGTGAGGGTCCGTGCATGGAGTCTGGAACGAATTGAACATTCTGTGTCTTCTTTCTCAAGGCCTTGAGCAGTGGGCTGGTGCTAGGGCATCATTTCTGGGGTAGTTCCAGCGTGTAATAAGTATTATGTGCTTTTCATCTTGATAGGCTTACAGGAATTAACACTGCAATCTAATCCTGGATTGATTTCAGTATAGCTGAGCAGTATATGATGTTTCTGTTTAGGATAGAACTTCAGT